AAATGGAGTGATAGAGAAAAGCTGTGGAAATTTGCCGCTTTTTGCCGCTAATTAAATATGAAAACCCAAAAATTTGCCGCTCTTTTTCTCCATGAAAAAATCGTGTTTGAAAAAAACTTGTGTTTCGCAAGGTTGCCGTTAAGTTAGACCGACATCGTCACAAAAAACGAATGGCAGTATAAAATTAGGTGAGTAAAAGGGTGTTCCGTTATAAATGATCTCCCACCCTTGATTTTTAATTTTTATGCACCCTGTAAGTACCTATATTTTAATTAGTGAAACTCAACATTTGTTGGAACAAATATTTATTTCTAAATTTTTTGAAAATAGTTTTTCAGTTTTTTTTTTCTTTAGCTTAGGAAAACTCTATTGGAGGCCTTATAGATTTCAAAAATCAGAAAGCGAAATATCGTGTGCTCATTTATACAGAAAATAAAATAAAATTAGAAATAAAATTAAATTGGAATAAAATGGAAATTATCGATAATTTTTGGCAAATTTTCCCGAATGCATTTTTAGTTGAAAAAAAGCACGAGGGACGAGAGTGCCTTTTCCAGTTAAAAATGCATGAGAGCAAATTTCTCAAAAATTATCGATATATTTCCATTGCTCGAGTTGTATTTTATGAGAGAATTTCATGAATCAAAAATTTAAATTTTTAGTATATCCTCGTAAGTATAAAATGTCACCAATCAGAAAAAATGTCAAATGCCACCCGTTAGTTAAGCAATTATCCAATCCGATAATCTTGCACTAGTACAAATTATCACGTAATCGTAATCTGATTGGTTGAAATCAACAATTAAAAAATGCCAGTTTATGCATGGGATCTGTGTCATTTGCGCGAGGGAGAAAAGTGCGATATAAAAAGCGCGAGGGACAAAATCACGACGGAACAAAAACGCGACAGGACAAATGCGCGATGGACAAAAACGCGACTGGATAGAAGCGCGAGGAACAAAAGCGCGAGGGACAAAAGCGCACGACTGCACAAAAACGCGACTGGATAAAAGCGCTAGAAGCAAAAGCGCGAGCGACAAAGCGCGAGGGGACAAAAGCGCGACAGAACAAAAACGCAGCTGGATAAAGCGCGATTGGCCAAGAACGCGAAGTGCCTTACTACGAGAACTGAAGATCGTTTTCCAAAATACAAGATATTTTCGGTGGCTCCGGTTCAAAAGAACGATATTTAAAATAGCAACATCAAAAAGGCGACATATTGTTAAAGCGATATATCAAAATAGCGACATTTGGAACAGCGACATCTAAAAAAAACAGCAACATATCAAAAGAGCGACATATGTAAAGAACGAGATTCAGAACAGTGACAAATTAAAAGAGTGATTTACAACGACGACCTCTAAGCAAAAGAGGGAAACATCAAATTTTTCCAATATTAATCAAAATTATGTAGACTTAATCAAACTAACCCGTCCGTCTAGGGCAATCTCGTCCTCGTGAGTTAGCATTTTATTCAATTCAATTCAATTCAATTTTTATTGTTTCCAGAAAGTATTTTCTATAACAATGAGTGCTCTAAATCTAGTAAACGTAGTGGTTTGAATTACAAAAGCAAAAATAAACTTATAAAGGAGGGAATATAATTTGTTTTGAATTTGGATACGTATTTGTTATTAGAAACGAACAAAAAATAATAATAATCTAAATAATCTTAATCTAATTACAAAGCGAAAGATAAAGTTACTTGTATTTCTATGTATAAACTAAAAACCAGAAGGGTTCACATTTTGGTGCCTAATAAAAGTACCTATGGAAGGGGTCTATACAACAAAAAAAAGAGAGAAAGTTGATATTTCTAACAAATTCTAATCCTGCGATATCAAAAAGGATCGAAGCCTGAGGAATGACATTATGGTGGAAGCAAATGTTTTGGCAGATACTGGAGCTAAGGTTTCAAGTAAATTGAGAAATGAGTCAGGGCTCGACCATGTTAATGGTCTGACTTCTCTATACATTGGACATCTGAAAAGAATGTGGTCTAATGTCTCTAGTTCAGAGGTGTTACAAACTGTACATATTATGCGGGGGTCAAGTTTATAGAGGATAGAATTAAAGGTAAAAGCACATAGGTATTTGTTGGCAAGTCTTGTTTGCGCTATGAGTTTCAAAACAAATGTTTGTACTCTAAATGTTAAATAAGTAGCTGGATTTTTTGTTATTGATAAAAATGGATAAAAGGTCATATAACTGGAATCTCTAGCCAAAGCAATATCTTTCCGAAAGGATAGCTCTCGGTATTTGTCAATTATTTGATCGATTTTTCGTCTAGTTACAAATCTTGGTGTTAAATTATTAATCAAAATATTATCAAAACCTGTTCCAGTAAGTACCAATTTGAGTTGCGATAGCCAGTTATATGCTAGCGGCGAGTCGATAAGCTGTAGTTGCCTTTTAAGGCAAATTAAGGGTAATCTGCTTTCATCCATAGAGAGCAACCTTTTGAGAAAGTTGAGAGTCCATTTAAGTATAGTTGTCGCTATAGGAGAAACGCCAAACTCCAGGCGAAGTATGGCTGAAGAGGTGCTTTTAGGCAAAGAGATTTTTTGAGAAATGATGTTTGTATCTGTTCAAGGACGTCTAGATATCTTAGGGCCCAGATGGGTGCGGACCCAGACATTATGTTAAGTACACACGTTTCAAATATTTTAAGTCTTGGAGTAATTGAAAATGATTTAGACTTTGATAGATGTGAAACTGCCGCGCCAATGGCCTGTTTGCATTTTGAGACAGATTTGTCTGCCATAATTCGAAATTTAGAAGATGCAGTGAAAGTGACTCCAAGGTATGTATATTCATTGACAATTTCAAGGGGTTCGTTTTTGAAAATAAATCTTTTGGTGTAACTAGCTTGAAAACCCCCTCTCCTGAAACACATTATTTTGGACTTTGCAACATTGACTGCCAAATTGTTCTCCTGTACATACTCAGCCAGGATATTCAGGTTGCATTGTAGATCTCGTTCTGAAAGCCCGAAAACAATTAGGTCGTCACAATAGAGCAGCATAAAAAGTTCATTAACACCATCAATATTAATTAGCCTAGCTCCCTTACCCTCAAAAAACTGTATGATATCAGAGAGAAACAGTAAAAACAGAAAAGGGGATAGTGGTTCTCCCTGAAGTACGCCTTCACTTATTCCAATTGGGTCTGAAAGTCCGTCAGAGCATTTTACTTTAGCTGAAGCCTTACAGTAAATCTGAATTAAGATGTTTATATAGGAGGGAGGAACCCCAAAACTATGGAGTTTTCTCCAAAGTAGTGAGTGTTTAACGCTATCAAAAGCACGCTTGAAATCAATAAAGGCAACAAAGCATTTTATTTAAAAAATACTGCGCTCTCAAGAGACCCTGAGCAATCAGTGAATTAACTTTGCTTTTTTAAATAAAATGCTTACGAGGACTAGATCGTACTAGGTGGACGGGTTATTTTGGGTTAGTTTGAGTAAGTCTGTATTGCGACATCAATTTGAACCAATAATAATAAAGCAAATACAGACTTGCTCAAACTAACCCAAAATAACCCGTCCGCCTAGTGCGATCCAGTACTCGTAAGTTAGCATTTTATCCAAAAAAACAGTCAATTTATTTATAGCGTAGGGTCCCTTGACCGCGCCTTGTTTTCACACCTAATAGCGGCAAAAAAACGGCAAATTTCCATTCATTCAATTTTTCACTACCGACATTTTTAGTGATAATGTCTCGCTAACTTGATGTCAAGTTAGCCAAACAAATGATTTTTTTTTTCAAACTTGATTATTTATGGAAAAAAAAAGAACCGGCAAATTTTTGGTTTACACAACTAATTAGCGGCAAAAAAACGGCAAATTTTCATATACCTAATTTTTTACTGCTGACATATTTAGTGATGTTGTCTCGCTATCTTGACGTCAAGTTAGCAAAACACGTAATTAAGAAAAAACCAAATGAGCGGCAAATTTTTTAATTCCACATTTAATTAGCGGCAAAAAAGCGGCAAATTCTTGGCATAATGGAAAATCGATTTTTCGAAGTTGTCTCGCTAAGTTGATAGACATTTGGATTTTGAAAGTTACATAAATGGGACAAATACAATTCTCAGTCTACTTGCACTAAAACATGCCTATGAATACCTACTCCTCTACAAGGAACAGCAAATGTCATGCCAAATTAATTTTATTGCAATCAGTAAAATAGTGATATTCAGTGATAGGAATATTAATTTAAAAAAAAAAGATATGTATTCTAAATTAGCATCAACAATAATGTTTGTTGAGGAAAGATTTCGCCCCAAGTTGTGTTTTTGGTTCCATAAAAGACGAAAAGGTATTTTTCTCAAATTTTTCCAGACCTTTTCAATGGAAAAAAACCAAATTAGGTTTTGAATTTAATTTAAATTCTGTCTGTTCCAACAGCATGAGAACTGTTCCAGAACCAGTAATTTCCAGTTGCCCACCTATTTTTCAATAAGTTGAAAGTTTTTCGTAATTGAAAAATGAATTGATTGACTGGAAATTACCGATTTAGAACGCTTCTCATGTTTGTTGGAACAGAGCTACTGTCTTCATCACCAAAAAGCGTAAAAAAAATGAAATAGAGAAAATAAGAAAATATTATTTTTTAAATTCTTAGTGGAAGGTATATTTACTAAGGAAACACCGAGGGAAACACATGCCTACCTTATCATATATTTTTTTTAAAATTTGAATTGTTTTATTTTCTTAGTAACAACTGATCAGTATTTCAAAACCACTTATGTCCTTGTTTGAATTTTTTTCAAAAAGACAGGAATCAATGTAGATACCTACCTCAATACCTACAGACCCGCTACAAAAATAAGGAAGAATAAGTTCAGCTGATGGCATTTCAAATGAACCAAAATACCAATAAAAAGACTAGCTCTTAAATAAATACCTATGTGGTTAAAGAATCTATTTTAATACATTAGATTGTTTTAGTTTTGGCAATACTACATGTAGGTATAAATAATGAAGTTTCACTTACGCAGATGTTCCAGCCCTTAATAGTGGAGGTGGTGGAGGACCTGGTATCATAGTGGTATAGTAACCAGCTGCAGGCCTCATTTGTCTAGTTGCAGATGGATAACTTCGAATTGCAGAACTGGCTGCCCTGGGTTGGGCAATGTGGTAGGCAGATTGACCTCCAGTAACAGTGTAATTATTTGAATATAGATGAACACTATGCATTGGTCCATTAGTTGCAGCTTTTGCTTGAGTTGCTGGTTTAGGACTTGGAGGTGGATGTGTCGTAATTGGTGGAGCAGCTGGTTGCCTAGTCCAGTGGACATTTTGTGGTATACTTGATCTTCCACTGATTAAAAGTTGAGATAGTTCTAAATTTTTTTTTGGCCAATAATCTTCAAAAACTGTTCCAGGAGGAAAGTAATTTTTTATATCATTCAAACTTATAACTGAACAAGAATCATGTGCAAACAGCTCATTTCTTATTCCTTGCACTTTACAACAAAATTTTAAATATGAAAGATCCCATCCATCTATTTTATCTGCACGTAGTTTGAGGTTGTCTGTTTCACCTTCAAAATAAAAAAGTGGTACATATTTTTGGCTATTATATACAGTATAGGGCACCACAGATTCTCTATTTATTCGGATAAAACCACACCGGTTAGGCACATCAACTTCGGTTGTATTGACTAACTTATGATAGCAATGTCCTAAAAACTGGTAAAATTCATTTGCATCGACCAGTCTCACTATTAAATCCCGTGATGTAAATTGTTCTCTACCAAATTGATAATCACAATGTTTTAAATTTATTTCATTAAACAGTCGGGCTTCGGTTTCGGTAATATAATAACTTCTTATGTTTGTACAGTTGTAGAGATCCTGATGTAAATAGTTCAGCCATTTATTCAGTACTTTCATTTCCACCATCCGGACAGAACAATAATTTTCCCCCAATCGGATTATGTACGGAATCTGTATTTTTCCCATGGAAGTCCAACCAAATCTTCCCTTGGCTGATTCCTCATCAATATTTCTATTTTCATCACAACTGCCACTAGTGGGGCTTGCAACTTTTATATTTTTTAGTTTGTCACTGGTTAAAAAACTAATAAGATTCATGGTTGCTTGTCCAACAACTTGATTTTTTGCTGGTGCTGCCATTTTAGCCTTATTCGCTTCAACAAATTTAGCGGCCAATTCTCTGATCTCAGGATCATCGTTTGTTTCCTGCTTAACTGAATTGTAAGTATTATAATAGTAATCAGATGTTGTAGGATTCCCTGTAATACTAGTGGCATGATTATTCATTGTGATTCCTAGTTTTCAGTTTTATTTTGAAAATTTGATTGATAGTATGTACTACAAACAAAATCTCATTTCCCATGTTTTGGTAAACATCGTTGTTTGTTCACATTATTTAGTTAAGTGTGGAATGGTTTGAAAAAATTCTTGGCGCCAAGGGTTGAGGCTTCAGTTTCATTAGCATTTGGGCTTGTTTACAAAAATCTAAAATGAGGTTAAGGTGAATTTATTCCTGACTTGTTTAGGGGCATAGCGCCATCATTGGAAACACTTGACGTTTTACTTACATTAGTATTGTTAGTTCCTTTAATAAATTATATTTTTGGGCACTGAACTCGAACTCACACTTTTGGCTTTAAACAGTTCACTTTTTTACCATATTTACCCCAACTTTTTTGGTAATAAACACGATTTCGTAGAAGTCGGCGCGTTTCGTTTTTAGTTCTGTCACACAACAGACAGAACCAACACGGGTTACTGCACGACGGCGCTACTAAGTATCGGCGCTGCGATATTCCCTCGGTCCTCGGTCGTTGTCGGCGAAGAAAACGTATCGATAGCCTCGTATCCGGGTATTTCACCCCTCTAAGGTTCAACCTTTCACATAATTTTTAGAAAATGGCCGCCGAAACTGTTTCTGGGCCAATCACAATCGACCGTTGACAGTTAAAAGTTGTGACGACACACTAATTATGACGTCGTTGTTCCCTGTTTGAGGCTATTTTACTGTTTCCAAGGTCTAACTGTTCAAGGATGTTTCTGAATAATTTTACTTCACAGAAGAAACGAAATATACCAGTTCATACGGTAACAATGTAGAATAAATATTCAAAATTCAACCATAAAAACCGGCCATACAGGTTTTTTTCTAGAGCACTTTGCAAAATATTCCAAATAAAACAAGTCACTTTTTTATGCTCTCTGCTAATACACCCTTATTGCAAGAGCCCCTAGGGAAAATGAATTCACTTATCAAGCAATGCTTGACTCTATGGCTCTATGCTAATTTCAAATTTCAAGGTTACATTATTTTTTCTTTTGCTACTGCAGAAATTATAATTAAGGACTGAGCATGTGCAGTGCATAAAAAATGCACTACTGAAGTATGACATTCGTATTTATGAGCCAATCTATTGGACCAACGATTGGACAAAATGGCGACCGGAACTTATAATTGCGCAGTGCGCATTAATTGTAAAGATTCTGCGTTAAGTAATCATTCATTGCAATCCAACAAATAATTTACAATTAACGTTCAGAAAATTTCCGATCACAAATTTAAATGTTAATCCTATATAAATTCAAAATTATAAATCCCAAAAATATTCTTCTTTTTTTTCTTGCCACGTTTTATTGACAGTTGACATACTGACAGGACAAAGATCTGCGTGGTGGAAGTGAGTGCGCGCCTGTGCGCAAAAGTACGTACGCAACTCACAGACTCGGCCTCGGTGGCCTCGGCCACGGCTAAATTATATTATAAATTGCCATGAGTCATCGTGACCTTGTTTCGTGCGTGATTGCTGTTGCTAGGTGGCGGTGCGGTGGCTAAGTCCGCTAAGCTAGGCCATAGGCGTACTAATTCATGGCGTTGGACATTTATTGAATTTTTTTTTTTAAATCTTATCTATGGTTGAATAATTAGTAAAATGCGAATCTACGTTTTTATTTTTGACAGAGTGAACACATTAGGCGATTTCAAATCAGATAATACGCCATGACTATGCTTTGACCAAGTCAGGCTGAGATGTCCATAGACGTCATGATGACGACAGGTTGCATGTTGCATTTGAGTTAGGGTCAGGATGACAAATGATCGTTTAGGTAGTGACCTTAATCTTGAACATAAAATGTTATCATTCAATTGCTTCCACTGTAAATATCATAATATTAATCACAAATAATTAAAAAATGTTATCTTCAAGCGGTCTATAATTTGGACTTTATTCTACTTAAAATATAGGCAACACAGAAGTTATCCATAATCCATTATGTATGTACCAAGGAGTGAAAAGATTTTTTATGTATGGGGACTATGGGGTAATTTCTTCGTCTTTTTTTCTTGCTAGAGGCAGCGCGCCAATCTGGGCTATTATTCGCGTACCTAATTATTGTGTTTGCCTTCTCCTCTCGCTAGATGGCAGCGTCAGTTTGGGAATTAGCTATAAGCCAAGTTTGGGAATTAGCTCCAAAAGTATAATTTATTCATAATTTGTTCGTTTTATATATTTCGTTAATTATTAGGGATTAAATTATTGCATATATAAAGTATGAGCATAAATAAATACCTAGGGATAATCTCGTTGATGTGTCTGCTCGTTAACACGAGCGTCTATGTTTCGAGCAATAAAATGTGTTCCGAGTGACCCAATATTGATTTGCCATTTGACATAAACAGTCTTCAGCTCAGACTTGACATTACGTGGTCATTTATCGTAGCAGCCTTTCATTATTTTTTCCGAAAATTGATGCAAAAAGCACTAAAAGCAGTGGTTGAGTAGTGAGAGGAAAGATTGCATTCCCTTGAAGATAAAATTTATGCCATTCGCTCAATTTGAACATTGACACGTAAATATTCGTTGAACGGTTGTGAAGGACAAAATGCGCAAGTAGGCGGATGTTTCATTTTTATAGGTTTTTTGATTTTTTTTTGCTGTTGACGCCATTTTTTCTAAGTAGTAAGTTGTGGTGAGGCATGAAGATGAAGACTAATGGAGTACGATTGCAGCCTGAGTTTTCATGTTTGCTCCAACCTTGCCAAAAATCGGTAAGGCTCGGTCTCGCTCATGCGCATATTACCAAAATCATTCCATAGATATCGGTCTATAGAACGATTTCCTTTTACATTTCATTCAATTTTGTTTGCTATAGTTCTAGAACGTTTTGAACGTTTTGGGGACGGTAATTTCCGTATTCCCTAGAGGCAGCAACTAAACTGCTCGCCAAAAAACGGGACAAGCAATTTTTAGCGCCATATTATTTTAATTTGTAATAACTTTTTTCAAATTACTTTTTTTTATGAGGTTTTGGTATTTGATAGTCCATGTTGTATATCTCGTGGAAAAAAATTATTTTTTTGAGGGATGAATTTCTCCAGTAATATACAGGGTGAATAGTAAACTGATGCAAATGTACGAAGTTGGATGCAATATTTCTTTTTTCGGATTTCCGTATAGGCGATTAGTTAATTGATGTCAATCTCCAGAAGTATTGGTCAGTTTTTTGATAACTGATGCCCTTTGGCAGCAGATAAACTACTAAACAAAAAAGTTGGTTAATGCACAATGTTAGGGCTGCAGCTTGAAAACGGTTGTATCGATTTCGAACAGCTTTGCAGGTTTCGAAAGCTTATTTTTTTCAGAGGTTCCATGACACTTTTACAGTGGGAAAACGTTTCACAATCCAACAGTACGTATAAGCCACATCGTTTCAACATTGTGGTGCTAAAATGACTCTTCACGAGGCTCTAAGACAAAAACGAAAAAATCGTCCCGAGATGGCCCAAAGAATCATCTAACCAATGGACATGTTTCCGATTTATTTTTTTTTGTATTTTGCTTGCTTATTCTTAGGGATTTTCTTTTTTTTCTGCGTTCCATACTTTTTTTTATATTAATTATTTAATTAATTAATTATTCAAAGTAATTTAATTAGGTAATAATTAATTAATCAAAAAATTTTGTGTAAGCATGGAATTAATTATTTATGTGGAACAATAATATAGATAAATGCAATAATCATGTAATTAATGGTTTCTGAAAATATAGGTCTGTTCGCAGAGAAATCACAAACCAGTCAGAGTGAATCTCATTGGTTGAAACTAGTTTTCTGACTGTTTCTGATTGTTTTCAACCAATGATATGCGCTCTGACTGGTTTGTGATTGCTGTGCGAACAGGCCTATTATTTTGAATAAAGATAATTACCTTGGCAACATTGACTGGCGGTGCTGCCAGTGTTATCGGCTGAAAGCTGTTTTGTTTTTGCTCTATAACACATAACCTAAAAAAATTCATAATTTTTGTCATTTGCTTTGCGTATTTATATAATGAAAATCAAAGTTTTATATTTATTTCCATTATTAGGTATCAATAAAAGTTAACAAATAAAGATAGAAAAATGGATAAATTCTATCAATACAACAGGCAACATTTGAATGGCGAATGTTAGGTTAAAAAAGCTAGCAGCTCCGCATGTAACAACATTTTGTTGATTGTTGCTGATTGGACAATTGAAATGGCGGTAAAAGCGTGAGCATTCAAAAATAACGGTGTTCTCGGATTGAGGACCAGCGGTTGAGGTGCTTTTAATACCTGCACGGAATTGGGGACCATCGGATAAGATATTTGCACTGAATTGGGGACGATCGGATTTTTAAACTTAAGGAAAAGTGCCTTAATATCAGTTTAATTTTTTTTCCAAAATATGTTGCAGCTGAATATGAATTAGCTATTCATAAAGCGCAATAGCGCAATAGCCGAGTTCGGTAATCCAAGGGTGTAGATTTTATCTTGGACAAGCCTGGTTCAGGAAAATTCAGAGTTTAGGGTTAGTGAAAGAATACAAAATACGAAAAAAGTGAAACCGGAAGCTGGATGAGCTTTTTGGTTTGTCGTTTTTAAAACCTGACGAAGTAGGAGAATGCTTCCCTATAGATTTAGCAGAACTCTAGCCAAATAATGAAAACACTATTTGGTTAAAAATTATATTGAAGAAAATGCGTTATTCCGCCCGCCTAAACTTTGGGCCGAGGCTCGAGTTAGTTTTGAACATTCGACAAATACATTCGACAAATGCTTGCGAATCGTTTCATTCTAGATTTAATTCTAATTTTCATTCCATGCACCCTTCATTGTATTTGTTTGTTAATGTATTAAGCTCAATTTATAAACTCGCCGTCAAGATTCCGTTTGCGTTTGCGTCCAGCACACCGTTACCAATTGAATATTAGAAATCCCATAAGATCATTTATACTCGCCGTCGGCCTCAGAATTCGGCGTCAGCATAGAGACTACGGTAACCAGCGAGGCAGACGCAAACGCAAACGGAATCCCGACGGCGAGTTTATAAATTGAGCTTTAATGATTTTCAAACAGATACTTATATATTCGAATTCAAAGTGTTCATGCAACAGTCTGTTAAAATTAATAATAAGGCTGTGGGGCGTAAGCCAGATGGGCAAAATTCACAAATAGTTATACCGTATAGTAACGCTAGTTATCAATCGAATAGATTTTGTAAAGTTTGCATCATATTTTCATAAAGTGTACTAATAGTTATAACATATTAAAGTTAGGTAAATGTAAATTAAAATTAATGGTATTTTTATTTAAAAATTGTGCATATTTAATTTTAAACACTCTTTATGTATAATTTAAAATATGGTAATGAAGTCATCAAGCTCTGGTTCTTTAGTTCTCAATTCGTTTTTATGAGATATCCAGGTAGAAAAAAATCCTTTTTCTAGGCCTAGCTGGTCCCCAATTCGTGTCTGCCCAAAAATAATGCCCTTTTCAACAGCCTG